TCCAGTAGTAACTTGGTCTGTACTCTGGCTGCTGTGGAAGGGGGTTAAATGGAGTTCAGAGACTCTTCTAGGCTAGAGATGAGTCCAAACTATGAAACCCATGTCCAGTCTTGCTAAAAGGTCCTATTTTGATCTGAAAGCAGCAGCTTGTGCCCATCTCTAACTTAGCCCCATCTATGCTGGTCACTCACACCATGATAGAACAGCCGGAATTTATCATCATGGAGTGTTTTCAAACCAGCTGTTTCCAGTCAGCTGTAAATTTTTGGGGAGACAAGGGGGCCTGTAGCAGAACTACTTCACTGTTGTGTATAATGTGACTGTCTCCATGAGTTAGTTCCTCTAGTTGCTTTGACTAACTTAGTTATGTCTGTTTGGTTCCTAGCCCAATGGGGTATTGATCCTGTGGAACTCTTTGCCAGAGGATGTTGTGAAGGCCAAGACTATAGTAGGGTTAAAGAAAGAACTAGATACGTTCATGGAGGATAGGTCCATCAATGGCTATTAGCCAGGATGGGCAGGGATGGTGTCCCTAGCCTCTATTTGCCAGAATCTGGGAATGGGTGACAGGGGATGGATCACTTGATGATTACCTGTTCTGCTCATTCCCTCTAGAACACCTGGCATTGTGACCCAGTATGGCTGTTCTTATGTTCTTCAGTGGGTTCCTAAGGGTTACTGTAATAGAAATTAATAACTTTAAAATGTTCCTTCCTTCCTTCCCTCATCCCATCCTTGCCCAAAACACAAACCAAGTATTTTTCGAAGTGGTGTTTTTGTTTTGTTTTAATTCCACGATCACATACTTCAGCCCTTGCTGGCTTGGGAAAGTATTGAAATCCTGTAGGGAAGAGCTATTCCTGGGGTGGTCCTGGCCACCCAACTAGAGCAGAAGGTTGTGGAATCTCCCTCATCAGCCAGGCTGCCATCACCCTTGGGTAGAGCAGAGAGTTCAGATCATAGGCACCAACTCTGTGGGTGCTCTGGGGCTGAAGCACCCACCGGCAGTTCCATCAGCTCCCCCCCCAGTGCTTCCCGCCCACTGGCAGACCCCGCCAATCAGCACCTCCCGCCCGCTGCGATCAGAGGAGCAAGGACATGGTGTGCTCCGAGGGAGGGGGCGGAACCTGGCAGGAAGAGGCAGGGCGGGGGTGGGACCTTTTGGGAAGAGGTGGAATGGGGGTAGGGCCTGGGGCAGAGCCGGAGTCTAGCACTCCCCCCCCCCCCCCCAGCACATTGGAAAGTTGGTGCTTGTGGTTCAGATAGACTTTGGCTAAGTCTCCAAACATTCTGTAGTTCATCCATCACTTGAAGATACATATGCAGTGCATTCTCTTAAACACTCATGCTTCTAGTTACACCTGCCTTTTCCCAGTCTTCTGGCAACAGCTGTGAATAGTTAAGATGTCAGAGTTAGTCACCTAGAGATAGTGCACGTGGGTTCCTAGGTGTAGAGAGAGAGGAATTCAAAGCATTTAGCCAGCCAGTTGAGTTGAACCTGTCTCCCTCAACTTTCTAGGCATCTCCGAGCATTGTGTTCTCTTCCTGGGTGAAGCTCTATTTCTGGAGTTTGCTTTGGCTGACAGCAGGGAACATACCAAGGTGTGGCATTGTGTCCAGCAGAATGGCTTTCTAGTTAGGATTCCAGTGAGTGAGTAGCAGCTCAAGGTGTCCTCACTCAGGATTCTTTTCATAGTTTTGATGTGAAGCTGATTCAGACCATATGAATGTTGTTTGATACGTGGCTCATGTAATCTTTGTCGACTAGTATCGGGTATCTAGTGTGCTTCCTGCCTTGCTTCACCCAGCAAGAACAAGGGCCAAGTGACCTGACATTTTCATATTTCTAAAGCTAAAAGCACAAGCTGGAAAACACTTCAGATCTTTTAAATACACTATAAATAAACCAAAACAAGGTGCAGACCCATTATGTATTTGTTCTGCAGTACCACTGAGGGGAGCCCGTGTCGAGTAGGTCCTGGTGTACCAGGCACTGTACAAACACAGAACAAAGACAGTCACTGTCTTGAGGAGATTGTAATCTAGATATAAGACAAGTGACAACAGGTGGTGACAGACAGACTGGGAGCACAAGGAAACAATGAGGGAAAACGCATTTTGGCTGGCCAATGTAGACTGAGCCAAATCATGCCAGCACTAGCTAAAATGTTTGCAATGAACAACTTACTCAACTCTAACCCCTTTATTCGGCTTCCAAATTGCCTGTGAACAGTGAGTTTTACTGGTGAGTCTGTTAATTGTTCAGTCACTGTATGGGAACAAATTTAACCTACGGGCGGTTGAAAATACCAAGTGATGATTTAGGAAGGATGTGGACAAACTGGAAAAAGTCCAGAGGAGAGCAACAAAAATGACACAAGGCTTAGAAAACCTGGCCTGTGAGGAAAGGTTAGAAAAAACTGGGCAGGTGTAGTCTTGAGAAAAGAAGACTGAGGTGGGAGACCTGAGAACAGTTTTCCAATATCAAGGGCTGTTATAAAGAGGATGGTGATCAGTTTTTCTCCATGTCCTCTGAAGGTAGGACAAGAAGCAATGGGCTTAATCTGCAGCAAGGGAGATTTAGAAAAACTTTCTAACGACAAGGGTAGTTAAGCTCTGGAATAGATTTCCAAGGGAGGCTGGGGAGTCCCCATCATCGGAAGCTTTTAAAAACAAGTTGGACAAACATCTGTCAGGGATGGTCTATCTCAGGGGTCGGCAACCTTTCAGAAGTGCTGTGCCGAGTCTTCATTTATTCACTCTAATTTAAGGTTTCGCGTGCTGGTGAAACATTTTAACGTTTTTAGAAGGTCTCTTTCTATAAGTCTATATTATATAACTAAACTATTGTATGTAAAGTAAACAAGGTTTTCAAAATGTTTAAGAAGCGTCATTTAAAATTAAATGAAAATGCTGCTCTTACGCCACCAGCCTGCTCAGCTCGCTGCCAGCCTGGGGTTCTGTTCACCTAGGCCAGCAGAGGGCTGATCAGGGCCTGCGGCCGGGACCCCAGACCTGGGGGGGGGGGGGGGGGGGTGTTTCAGGGGGTCAGGGCAGAGGACTGGGGGAGGGGGTTCTGGGCAGAAGGCTGGGGCGTTCAGAGATCAGGGCAGAAGGCTGGGTGTGTGTTGGGGTGTGAGGGGTTCAGGGCAGAGGGATGGGGCTGTGGGGGTGCAGGACAGACTGTTGGATGTGTATTTGGGGGGGTTCAGGGCAGAGGGCTGGGGGGTGCAGGGCAGAAGGCTGGGGTGCTCGGCTCGTGGGGGTGCTCCCAGCCCCCTGCCCTGAGCGGCTCATGGCAGGGGGCTGAAAGGGATATGCCCTGTTCCACCCCCTTTCCCCAGGCTCCATCCCTACCTCTCTCTGCGTCCTCTACAGAGCTGTGTGCACGCTGCCGCTCTTCCCCCTTCCCCTCCCCCTCGCTAGGGCCATCAGCTGATTGGCCAGGGACAGAGAGGAGGAGGGGCCGGAAAGCACCACACTCGGGGAAGAAGAGGAGGACGGGGGGGGGCTTGGCTGCCGCAGAACCAAGCTTCTGCCTCCTGCCCCCGCAGGGGAGAGCGGTGGGCGGGGGGGCTGAGTGGGGCTGGGGGCCGGGACCGTGGCAGGGAGCTGCGTGCCACTCAAAATCAGCTCGCGTGCTGGGTTTGGCACGCGTGCCGTAGGTTGCCAACCCCTGGTCTAGGTTAACTTGGCCATGCCACAGCTCAGGGGGCTGGACTTGATGACTTCTCAAGGTCCCTTCCAGCCCTACATATCTATGATTCTATGTTTTCAAACTCTGTGATTGGTCACCCAAGTTTCATGAAATGGTTTCCGCATTCTGATTGGATGACTCTGTGATCACAAGCTTCCTTTAATCTGTGGGATTGGTGTGAACAAAGCCTTGCCCATTTGAATGTTGGCAAACTATTTATGGCTGCTGTATACACCCGGAGCCTAGTCAGTGCCAAATTATGAACTGTTCAACACAGTTTCTGATCTCAGTCCAGCTCTGTCACACTGGCTGGCAACATGTGGGCATTGTGCCCTACTCATTCCTGTGGTGTCCGAGTGGTCATGAGTTGTTTTAAAACAGGGCACAGAAGTTTAAATGTAGTTCTCCCATGGTTAAAATCCCCATGTAGATAGAGGTTCAAAGAAGAGGCAGGGGGAAGGCAAGGTAACTGTTAGCTGATACATTAAGTACTTTCTGAAGCTGTCTGTGAGTGGAGGATTATGGAGTCATTGTGACTTGCACGCTTATCCCCATTTATTGTTCAGGGTGGATGGTGGCCTGTGAAACTGGCAAGAGAAAGATTTGTGTCTAGTAGAATTTAAAACCTGAGTGTAGCGTATCCCCTGCTTTGACAGTGGCAGTGCTGGCAGCCACAACCAGCTATGAGCAAGCGATTCCAGCCAGGATTAACCTGTGAGTGTCAGGTGAAAAGTGCAAGTTAGTGATATCTGTTGAATGCTGGAACTGCTCCCTGAGACCTGCCCATGTTACTGGCTTTACAATGGGATGAACAAATTCCTCTTGACCTAGGCCCAATCCTGGACTCGAGACATCTTTTGAGACAAACTAATTTCTGGTGGTCTTTACAAGAAGCCAGGGAACAGGGCGAGGGGCAAAGAGCTGAGCTGAGAGTGGCTTCAAGCAGCTGGTTTTAGGTCCAGTAAAGTGTGGGATACCGCTTGCTGCTGTGGGATGATCGCACAGAGATGTTGGCACTAAAGGTGTGTGTTCCCTCTGCCTTTAAAATGTCTTATATTCTTCTAAAGCTCTTTGAAATCAGCTACATCAAATGGTAGCTGGTCTTAGGCTCCCGAAACATGGCTCCATTGGCTAACTCCCATTCTTGTCATTAACAAATTGCCTCTTGGCCGTTTTGACAAATGGGCATTCTGTAGGGGAATCTTGCATGCCTGTTAATTTGATTGTTGTGAAGTGTTTAGGGGCTGGCACATTAGATCAGACAGCACATATGAAATCAAGCACTTGTTTTCTATCCCTACAGGGAAGCCACCTTGCGATGGTCCAGAGAGTCTAATTCCTCTGCAACTTTGGTGATGGAGCTGAAGGTCTGGGTTGATGGTATCCAGCGGGTTGTGTGTGGCGTCTCAGATCAGACCACATGCCAGGAGGTGGTCATAGCATTGGCACGGGCTATTGGTAAGTAATGTATTGAATCACTATGGTGAAGTTTGGTTAATGACCGACATCAGTTTTTATCGCAATACCTGAGAAAGTGCTTCTATACATTCTCAAGTCTTTCCTGTGATGTGGTCAAGGATTATTATCCACTTTGGAGCTGGATGAAACTGAGACATACAGATGAAGTAACTTTCCCCAGGGAGTCTCCCAGTGAGTGGCAGAGATGGGACTAGAACCCAGGAGTCCTGACTCCAGTGCCCTGTTGTCACCAGCAGCCAACTCTGTCTCCTGGTGGATTAGTTCTAGAACTCTATTACATTTCTAACACAAAAGGCTTGACCCAGGTCAGTTCTTCTTTGATAACAGGTTTTAACTTTCAACCTTTTAAAAATTTAAGATCACTAAAATAGTCCTGCTTCCACCTCCTCCCCCTGCCTCAGAACCCACCAATCTCTTCATAATTAAAGTCATGTCCACATCTGCACAGTAATCTCCGGTTGAGGAAGCAGGAGACCTCAGGGCAGCATGAGGCTATCTTTGCCACAGGGAAGGCACAGCAAAATTCTCTTAGATCTTTGCCACATAAACAGCGTGATGCAAACGATCATCTGTGGGATCACAAGTGTGTTTAATTGCATTGGTACAGCTGTGTCTTTCAGCACTGCCTCACTTGGGATGTAAGCAGCTCATGCTAGGATGCATAGGCACCGACTTCTTCTGGCATCGGTGGATGCCCCATTTTGCATTAGTAGAGAACATGGGCCAATGTCAGCTTTTCTCCAGTCATCCTCTGTCCATAAATACTGAGCCCTGCCTGAGAAACCCCAGCCTCAGCTGGCTTGTGAAAAGGCCCAGTTCCACACACACACGCACTCTGAAGGCACGTCTTCACTACGGAGCTAACTCGGCGCTGCTGCAAGTGATAATTTAGCGGGTCTGGTGAAGACGTGCTAAATCGATGGGAGAGTGTCTCCCGTCGACACTGCGTGGTGTAGATGCTGTGCTAAGTGGATCTAGCTACGTGTTCACGTAACTGAAGAGGGTAGCTTAGATCAATTTACCGCGGTGGTGTAGACCTGGCCTGAGTTTGCCTCTGGCTCTGAAGGTCTTTAGGGTAGGTCTGTATCGCAGTCATGCGCTGTGACCGCAGCTTGTGTTCCTGAGGTCGTTTTAATCTCGCTTGCTCAGGCCCCGGAGCAGTGAAGCTGCAGGCAGCGCCCACTTCAGCCTGGGCTATACAAGTTCTCCTGGAGCCCTGGGTATTTACTTGCAGGACTAGCCCACAATGAAGCACGTGCTGCCGTGGCTTCGCTGTTTCACTGAGATGAAAGCTAGCTTGGGTATGACTCATTGAGGCCAGTCCCCTGCCTTCACAGCAGGACCAAGTACCGTCCCTGACAGATTTTTGCCCTAGATCCCTAAATGGCCCCCTCAATGCTCAAACCACTGAGCTATCCCTCCCCCCTAGCTCCCACAGTGGGGGAGCTGAACTTGGATCTCCAGAGTCCCAGGCCAGCACCTTAACCACAAGCATCCTGCCTCCCTTGCCAGCCTGCAGTGAGGGAGGGGAGAAGCCCTGCTGGCTTGTGAGCTCCATAACACTGTACTGGAGAGTGAGCCACACAGCAGGCAGGCAAGGGCTGGGCAGATGTGTTCCTCCCGGCAGCACGCTGAGCAACGCAGAACAGCCCCAGGTTCTGCCTCCCCTGATGTTCAGCGGGGACAAACAATAGTCAGTGGCCATGTGCTCTTCTGCAGGCAGAAGCCAGGCCGTGGCATGGGAGCGTGAGACACCCCATGTGAGTCACCCAGCTTGTGCTTGCAGTTGACCTGAACTTGAGATGTGCATGTTAGTGCTGATTGCACTGTTCAAATATCCCCCGGGTAATGGTGAGCGGCGAGCCTGTCTAGTGATTTGGAAATTCACTGAAGTTGCAGCTGAAGTTTCCATCAACATGTGCTGCTGCCCTCCACGATTACATATGCCTCCAAGCTGATGCTGCAGCCCAGGTCTCCACCTGCGGCATCATTAATTGGAAGTGCAAGTAGAGAAGCACCCACATGATCAGGACCAAAACCTTGTGGGCTAGAAATCTCCTGACTCCGTCTCAGAAGCATCAGAAAATGTTTGAAGCTGAGTTATGATGTTTCTGCTCCCAGAAAACCTGCTGGCTCATGATCTTTTAATGACAAATATCCTTTCCATCCAGCAGGCCTAGCGGGTGGAGGCTGCAGTGGTACAGTGAGATAAGATGTTAGACTGGCTCTCTGCAGACCCGGGTTCTAATCCTGCCTGAGGTCACACATGAAAATGAATGTGGCCTTTTAGGCTCATCTACACTAGGAACTTTTAAGACTTGTAATTCTCCACTGGCGGCTGCAGTGGTGGAGATAGTATTAGAGCTAGGGCTTGGGAAGCGTCACCACTGTGTTGTCTAATCCTGAAAGCAGACAAACTGGTGGTGTGAGCCCCAGAGCCCCAGCAGTGTGTAATGGGTAATTACAGGACTTAATTTTCCTAGTGCAGAAAACACTGCTATTCAGTGGGGAGTCTTCAATGCCTAGGACTTGGAATCGGGGGGTGTCATTTCAGGGGAATGGGGGGCAAAGTTGTCAGTATGTAGAATGTTATGTGATTATATTATAGTCTGCAAAGTCGGTGGTGGGTGGGTGGAGTACATAGGCCTGTGAAAAGTTGGGGGTAGGGGGGAGGGTTGAGATTGATGCCCCTGCTTGAAGTGAAGCCAGGTAGGTGACCTAGGGCTAGAAAGGACAGGGGTGCCATAGGCGTGGATGGAGGTGCATTGACACAGCATTGGGAAGAACACATGCTGCCTGGCTGCAGCCACTGACATTGGTGGTCTTTGCTGGAAGCAGAAGTCACTCCCCTGCCAGGTTTCTGGTTCTTCAAGTGATGGTCCCTATTGTAGTCCACTGAGGATGGTGCACATGCATCAGTGGAATACAGGGAGGGGCCGCACATCTCGAAGAACCTCCAGTTACAGGTAAGTCGTCTCCTCGTTGAGTGTGGTGGGGAAGAGCTGCATTAAGGTAACGGTTGTGAGACGGACGTGCTGCCAGAGGCTCTACATGTTTCTAATGCAGATGGGATCTCGAGCATAGGCGGGGGGAGTGGAGCGGCTGAGCATGATGAAATGTTGCCAAGTGTGATATTCCCCATTTCTCTTTGAGCTCCTAGTGACTCATCTGTTCTTTTCTCAGGCCAGACAGGAAGGTACATTCTCATCCAGAAGCTGCGGGAGAAGGAGAGGCAGCTTCTACCGCACGAATGCCCTCTGGAGTCACTGGCCAAGTGTGGACAGTATGCCAATGACGTGCAGTTCATATTGCAGCGGACGGGCCCCAGCCTGGCCGAGCGCCCTTCCTCTGACAGTGCCCCCCAGGCTCCCGAGAGGACATTCGTCCGGGCCAGCCTTCCCATCAAACCCAGGCCGGTCAGCACAGAGGTGCCCAGGTCCCGGGAGCCTAAAAAGTCTATGACCTTTAACTTGGGCCCTATGGGCTCCAGCGATCGGCTCGCCAAGAGCAAGCTGAGACTGCACAAGAGGGACAGTGTAGACTCAAAGGACAGCACCAGTCGCAGCCATCCATCCAAGGAGGAGCTGTTTAAGACTGTGCTGCACCAGCAGGAGCAGCTGCACTCCTTGGAGGTGCACGGGGATTCCCTGGAAACGGACCTCAGGCACTGGGAGCAGGACAGGGGCTCTAGCCAGGAAGACGAGATCCTTTATCTGGAGCACCTGATCAGGCGGAATGAGATGGAGCTGGGTGAAGAGGAGTTCTGGCAGAGCGAGCTCCACCTGGAGAAGGAGTGCGAGAGGGAGCGGCAGGAGAAGGTGAGGAGCCTGCGGGCCACCATGGAGGAGTACACTCAGAAAATCCACGAGCTGACCACCAAGACGGAGGTCCTGGAGAAGGAGATCCAGTTAGAGATCACAGAGAGGGCCAGGCGGGCGAAAGAGGCTCCTGCAGATCTGGAGGACATGGCTGCCAAAATGAAAAGGGATCTGGAAGCCAAGGCCAAGCAGAGCGCCCAGCTGGAGAGCAGCCTGGCGAGCGTGGGGAAGGCCTTGGAAGAAGCCGAAAGGAATTTGCAGGTACAGTCTCAGTAACGCGTGCTCCTGGGGGTCAGCAGTGGAATGCAACCGTGTTCAGCTCATGCTCTGGCCTTCCTCCCGAGCGGGGCCTACACAAGACTGTTAAGGGAGCTGCCCAGGGATCAGCTGCTGAACCGGGTCTGAAACCCCAGAACCCTCCTGACCGCTCAGATCAGTAGAGAGCTCTTTGCAGCTCTTGACAGGTTGCCATCGGTGGATAGTGGGGGTGGTCTGGGTGTTACAACCCCAACAGTTAGGGTTCAATACTACTTGGGTGGATAGAAAGTCACGGGAAGTGCAGTATGGCTGGGAGAATTAACGGACTGGGGCTTGATCCTGCAAGGCACTGAGCACGCTCACCCTGATCCATCAAAACCCTTACGTGCCCGAATAATCCCATTGAGTTCAATGGTACCACTCCTGTGGGTCCCTGCTTTGCTGCTCAGCGTCCTGTGGGCTCCAGCCCCGAGGAGTTAGCGCCTGGGATAGACAGTGCTTAGCAAACCATATGGTGCAGGGTTTGGGGAGAGGGACTGACTCTCAGGAAACACAGCTCCTCCTGATGTGCCTGGAACGCTCATGGACATGTCCACGCTGGAGAGCGCTCATCGGGTGTGGCTCTTTGGAGCAGCATTGGCTTCATGGTGCCTGCTCAGGCTGGTAGTGGGATCTGCGCAGGGAATACTCTATGGTGCATTCCAACCACACGTCTTGGTGCTTGAGGGACACACTTGTTCTCTCCCACACTGTGGTATCCGGGACATGCCTCCAGGGAGCACTTATGCAGCACATCCTGGGGTGCTGCAGCCTTTTCAACAGCTGTAGCAATGCAACAGGGAAGACGGGAGGGAAACATCATTCCTCTTAAAAACTTTAAACCCAGGAAGATTTTAAGAAGCTCAGGGCAAAGCAAGGGGCCCTTTTTCCTTCTCTTCAGCCTGCTCTCCCTGCCCCCACCCCAAGTGAGGAGCATAAGTAGAGAGGAAAACTCACTATACCTGAGTCACATATTGACAACAGTTGCTACAGTGAGCTAGAGCTGCAGGTTAATTAGCTCATTGTGTAATCTTCTTAAAGGACTATTGGGTGGGAGGGAGAAAATCCAGAAAAGCCGAGATCAGAGAATTGCCTTGCCCACCAGCATCTTTTAAAATAGCAGGTACAAGAATTTGCAACGTTCCCCTCATGTGTCTGGAAAACCAGTGGGACTGACTGAAAGCTACCCGGGCAGCTGTCGTGGGGGTGCACCTGGGCCTAGTGTTTGCGGACAGTTTTTCACAACCGTAGGGAGCCGCTTAGCACGAAGGGCCTGGTCTACACCTAAAAGTGAGGGTGACCTAGCTTTGTTGCTCCAGGCTGTGAAAACGGTTGCACGGCACGTGATGTTTAGGTCGACCTCAACCCTCATCGTAGACGCAGCGAGGTTGACGGAAGGATTCTTCCATTGACCTAGCTACCACCTGAATTACCTACATTGACGGGAAAACCACTTCCACTGATGTACGAGGCATCTGCAGTCCGGTGCTACAGCAGCACAGCCATGGTGCTGTAGTGTAGACGAACTCTTGATCTGGCTTCCTCATGCTATTTAAATTGCTGATGAGAGGAGATCCCCGGTGTAGACCAGCTCTTGCGCTGTTTTGTCTTTGTTGCCTGTGAAAAGAGACAGAAGTCGAATGTGCTGCCTCACTAACAGCAATGCTCCCGGCCTCTCCTCACAGCCACCCAGTGGTGTAAAGGCTTCTGCTCTTCTGGCTTTATGAAGGAATAAGCCAAGGTAGCAGGTGCTGCTGGCATCCAGCCTCCCCAGGACCTTTCCTCTGACTGGTGCTGCTCTTGAGCTCTGCTTGTGGCATAAGGTGCTGGGGGTGCACACTAACCAGAGGAGGCTCCATCTGGAACTTCCCACGCCCCTGCCCAGCCACTCGCCACACGTTTGCCAGTGAGATGGAAGTTGTTGTTAGCTGTAGGACGGTACCACTTCAGCTATGTCTAGCTGCAATAAAACGCATGCGCCTGGCTGCAGGGTAGATGGGTGGACTCCAGCCTGAGGCCAAAAGTTACACTGCAATTTTATAGCCCCGCAAGCCCAAGGCAGCTGACACGGGCCAGCCCTGGAAGTCTTACCACAGTGTAGACACCCCTGGAGGCCACAGCTCAGAGTGGGGACTAGGTGCTGTGCACAGAGAGAGAGAGACAATCCCCACTTCTAAGATGACCGTCTCAGTGGAAAAGACACAGGGTGGAACAGGAACCAGGCGCAGAGAGGGGAAGTGACTTACCCAAGGTCAGTGGCAGAGCCCAGCCCTCCTGAGGCCTGGTCCACACTAACCCCCCACTTCGGACTAAGGTACGCAAACTCAGCTATGTTAATAACGTAGCTAAATTCGAAGTACCTTAGTCCGAACTTACCGCGGGTCCAGATGCGGCAGGTAGGCTCCCCCGTCGATGCCGCATACTCCGGCAAGCACTTCCAGGATTGATTTATCGCATCTAGACAAGACGCGATAAATCGATCCCAGAAGATCGATCGCTTACATCCGGACCAGGAAGTAAGTATAGACGTACCCTGAGTCTCAGTCCGGACTCCTGTGGTCTGGGCCATGTTACCTCCAGTGGGAGATCTGGATGGCAACCAGCTCGCATTTCTCATTGGAAATGCAGTGCCCTAACAAACTCCTTCTGGCCCAAAGCCGGGAGCGGGACAGCAGCCATTCCATGCGACAGGGAGGGAGGGAGCAGGGTGTGAATGCTGATGCTGGGCTAGGAGAGCAGCATGGGAGCTGGGCGTATGCTTGGCTTGGAACAAGTCAGCAGCCCCTCTGGCTTGCTGGTGGCACAAGGTCGCTGGGCTGGGTGGATTCTGGGGTCTGAGTAAATTGGTGAGATGGGGGGGGTGATGTCTTTGGAAAAACCCTACCAGGAAGTTTTGTTCCTGTTGGTGTAAAAAGGCTCTCATCCCTCCTGAACCCCCTAGGAAAGCAGGGAGGCTCTAGTGTGATGCCTGTTACAGGTGACGTTCCCCCCATCTCCCACTCTCTTGTGTTCACCTAACCCCTGCCTGATTTAACGTAAACACTTCTCCTTCCCCAGCCTCCCCCAGGACAGAGCAGCATTAGTTGCCCCTCGCTAGGGACGCTTACGTTTGCAGCCATCGGAGCATCTTGTGTGTTCGTGGGTGGCTCCGAGCTGGTAGCTGCAAACCCTGTTTTGTATTTGTGCTTATAGTTTGCTTAAATAGAAGCACTAAGCACATGGCTTTAGTTTTTCTTCCTTTTCTGTTTAGTAGACACTGGTGCCCTCCTGTGGACATATGGAGAACTGACCGTTCTTAAAATTCCTACTTTATGATTGGTTTGATTATCCCAGTGCAAAGTGCGGCTTTGCTGGTATAGCTGCATCCACATTTCGGAGCACTTTGCCAGTGCGGGATACCAGTAAAGTGCTCCTAGTGTAGACATAGCCTCAGTCCATCTCCTCCTGCGGGAATGTTGTCTTGGCATTCCCGCTGATTAAATACTGACTTGGAACAACATTATTATTGTCACAAAGTATTGTGATTATGTGTGACTGACCGTCCATGACTAAAGCAGTTTTGCAGTCCGGTGTTTCTCTAACGTGGGCCCAGCAGCAGGTGGGGTAACTGGAGAGAGGATCCTGTTAGATTCTCCTTCCCCTTCCCCCTGCGCTGCCTCATCTCAGAGAAAACCCTGAGACTACTTCCTTGCGACTCTGTTCTCCCACCAGGCTGCGTGAAAGCGGAGTGACTGATTCAGGCTGTCAGTCTGTTCACCAGCCGTGGTGCAGGGACAGAGGGAAATACTAATCCCAGGCTGCAGATGGAGTCAATAGGCTTGAATGCGCCAGTCTTGTCCCGAGATGACCTGTATTCCATTCCGATGCCTCTTGGAACCTTGTTCGCATTACAGTTGACACTGTGCCAGCTGCAAGTCCGTGCTGAAGATCCTGTAGTGTGGTTTCCCTGTTCTTGGTGCACAGACTGCTAGCTAGAGCCACAAGGATACCGACCTCCTTTGTAAAGTGCTTTGAGATCGACTGAGGAAAAGTGCTATACAAGAGCTACGTATTAATGAGGATAGTGCTATAGACTATGCTCTGGTAGTGCATAGCATGGTTTGTAAGCAAAGCTCTTCAAACCCTAATGTAGACAGGACCCAGCTTGGTTTCCTGTGGCCCCTTCTGCCCTGAGGTTGAAATCCAGTCTCTGTTGGTCCAGCTTTGCTCCGTTGTCTTCTCTGGAATAGTACCTAGGTGTAATCTGGATACTATGGTGTAGCCAAACTTGAGGTCTCTCCAGGACATCTGCCTTGCTAGACTTCCTTGGTTTTGCAAAGATGAGTTGGAAGGAGGAGGCGGAAGTGGAAGTGGGTGTAGTCAGAGCTCCAAATATGCGGCACCCAATGAATTCAAAGCGTGCGTTTGTATCTCTTTGCAGACAGGCTTCACCAGAACCCTGCAAGGAAGCCTTGAGCAAGAACCCTGCCTGCCTATCCTTGGCTGGCTGGGAAACAAGCTCTGTCTTTATCTGGTTCTGCCCTATGCGAGAGAAAGGAGGGCGAGTGTGACTGGGTGCCTAGTTGAGATTGAGTGCCGTGGGGTATTGTGGCAAGAGGCTAAAATGAGTTTGTGGGAAGGACGCTGCTGGAATTTAGAAGCCCTGCCAGGTAGAGGAAGTAGCAGAAGGCCCATTCCAGTGAGTCTGATCAGGTGACTCAATAGACTCTCTTTTCTCACGGCTGGATAAGAGCCCCCATAGGAGAAGTGTCAGGTTGGTGTGTTGGTCCCTGTAGCACTCGCTGGTTTTCTCTGGCCTGGGTGCCCTGTCTGAGTTTTCATTTACATTTAAAAACAAACAGCCGGCAAAGTCAGCAATGCGGCCTTCCGAGAACTGGCCTACAAGGGGCTTAATCACCTCGGGCCATGCTGGTTCTGTGTGTCATAGTCAGGTCTGACCTCATAGGTGGAGGATGGCAGGCTCTGTTGTTGGCTTTGGAAGCATCATGCTAGTGCAGCCCAAAAGAGGGGGTGTGAAGTGCCGAGTGGTCACCACGTCTGTGCACAAGAGAGGAGTGATGTTATTTGCCCTCTTGGTGGCCCTGCTGTCTCTTGATTTAGGGACTCGGAGGAGGTGGTAGGATGAAGGGTGAGCAAGGGGAGGGGGACCAGGAGCCTTGCTGGCAGCTTCGTCTCTGGAGGTCCCATTGTATTGATACCCTTTCTGCTCGGCAGATGAGGCACAGCTGTGGAGCTTATCCTGTTCACCCTGTATTTTGCAGGCCCAGAATCAAGAGCTGGAGGAGTTAAATAAGGAGCTGAGGCAATGTAATTTGCAGCAGTTTATTCAGCAGACGGGAGCCACAGTGACTGTTTTGCAGTCCAGACCTGAGGATGAACCCCAGCTGGATCAAACTAACCACGAACTGCCAGCCTGCCAGAGAAACGGAGGTCAGAACGCAGTTTGGAGACTCGTTTATTTAATGAGCGGGGCGCTTGCTTTAAGACCTGCCACTATGCTGGGCTGAAATGCTGCTTTTAAAACCTCCTAATTCCATTCTAACTCTTGTCATCTCCCTGAGATTTCCTTGTCAAGGTATCTATAGCTTTCACCTTCTGTTACCCGCCACTGCCTCCTGTCTGGTTCCTTCACCGTTTGGACGTAGTTCAAATATCGAAGCTGGATGGACTCGACCAAAATACTTCTGTAGTTACACGCATTGAGATTAGGGTCACCAGGGCTCCTGCTTCAGTGTCAGCCCATCCGCCATGTGGGCTGGGAACAGATTGTCCTCACGATGGCTAAGTGCATTGTGGGGGTTTTTCATCTTCCTTTAGAGCAGAGGGCATAAGGCTCTGCTAGCGGCAGGATATCAGGGCTAGAGGACCAGAGGTCTGGTCTGATCTGACAGATCTGTGCTGCTGTAACTCACTACCTTGGGTGGTGTTAGACGCTGGATTTGTGGGGTTGGCTTCCTAGCAGTGTACCTACCCCTTCTACTCCTTTCCTAGAGGGAGCAATTGTGGGACAGTCCATAGGCCAAGGCTTTCCAACCATGGTGCATTAAAACAGAAGTGGCTTTGGTGGGAGCTGAGGTTATACTGCCCCCTGAAAGACAGGTTGCTTCTACTTAGGGGCCTAAGTATGGCTGTAGGAGCCTGGCTGTAAGTACTGGCATTGAAAATGTTGTCAGTAGTGCCTCGGTGGGAGTTGTCAGCAAATGAGGATGATAGGACCGCGGCTGGGCCTCCCGCACTACACCCACCATTGTGTGTGTGGTGGGTAGGGTGAGTGAGAGAGACCCAATTCCTGGCTTCTAGCAGCAGAGACTAGAGGAGACTGTTCCACCTTCCCATGGGCCTGGGGAGGAGGGTGTTCCTATCTCTTGAGGTGATTGTCCCAGGGCTTCCCACCCCCTTTGGGCAGAAGTGGCCAGCCCTGGAGAGGTGTGCGGTACGCTTGAGCCCTCTCCTCGCTGTGGTACTGCAGAGGCTGTTTCTGCCCAGCCAGGAGGCAAGAAAGAGCTGAAGTGGGGAGAGGCCCTGGCCTCACACTGCTCTGTTGCCATTGGCAGCTTTGCTCTGGGTCAGGAACCCAAATGTCTGAATTGGCCATTCTGCTTACCAGCCTCTGGACGGCTGAGTGTGACATCATTAAATGTACGTGTGTGGTGGAGAAGCAGGTGGCTGAGAAACTGAACCTACCCATAATTCCAAATACCGTGGCAGGAGGGGGAAAGAAACACAGAGCAGTGACGATTAGCTGGGAATCTGCTTCCGTTCAGTTACGGCTCTTTACGTACTGTGGGCCCGATTCTCCCCTGGTGTCAATCCGTAGCGCTCCACTGATGGTGGTAGAGTTGTGCCTGTTGCACCAGGTGAGAGTCTGGCCCTGTATGTTTTCAACATCCTGCGATTCCAGAGACCAGACTGGTGTCTTCTAATGCACAGAGACCGAACGTGACTCTGTTCTGGTTGAGCTGGGACTGCAAGGCAAAGATGGGTTCTTCACACAGCCACATGCAACTTTGGAAGTGGGGAGGGGAATCCTTTCCTTCAGTGATCTTGGCTGAGTTGTGGCTGCGTTCATCCCTAAAGGCAGTTCAGCCTCTTTACACGGGAGGATAACATCAGAAGAGCTCTTGATTCCGAGGCTGAGTGCAGAGACATGAGTGCGACGGTGTAAAAAGCTCTTTTGCTGATGGGGAAGGAAGCGTTAATGCTAGCTAGTTTTCAAAGTATTACACGTGGTTTGTAACAAAGGGAGAAACACAGTCCCCTTGGGATTATATGTTACTCAGTTCAGGAAGAGCTGGTAGAACGTCTGTCCATTGTGAGTAAAGACATGTATGATATTCGTGCAACTTCCACTATAACTTGCCAAATCATAGCCGAGGAGGTGTTCGCTCGCCGCTGTCACTGTGGATGCTGGCGTACATGAGATTTGTGTGTACTGATGATTCAGATCTAGACTGGAAAACCTGCCTTGACTGCAGCACAAAGCAGAGAGCTCCCATGGTATGAAGGACGTTAACCTGTGCAGCGGGCACAGCGCTATAAAGAACACTTGGGGTGAGGAAGGCTACAGAGAAGTGTTTGAGACGGGGATTATTCACAGGGATCTGAATTGATGACTGTGGAGGAGGGACATGGAACAAAGGTTTCGCCACTTCTTCCAGTAGCACTACTACTTGCTGGACTATAGAGAAGCTGCTTTAGTGTAGCCTTAAAGGCTTCTCTGAGCCACATGAAACGTATGAGTGATTTAGAAAGAGGACCCCCAAGACTGGAGTCAGGGTAGGCTTTTCTCCACAGTAGTCTAGAAGAGGGGAAGCCCCTTCTGATCCCCCTTTATTACTGGGAAGAGTCCAGGCGCAGCCCCCAGACATGTTTTGCATGAACGTCCCTGCTGGGGAGCTCTGGACTGACCCGTTCCAAGGGTGCTAGCAAAGCAAATCCAGCTTGACACTGAACCGTGAACTTGTTTCTCCTCCCTAGGCCTTCTCCATCCCAGCACAGACTCTCCTCCTCGACCAAGCGCCAAGCAGTTCCTCGGCCATCCACGGAACCTTCAGAACCCACTGGTGTCCAGCCTGAACCCCGAGGGTGTGTATGTTTGAACTGGCCTAAGCCCTGTTGTGCTCCTAATGCCCAATCTTGCCAAGCAGCCCTGCGAAAGGTCTAGTCTCCTTGCAACGGTGGCAGCTATCGCCTGCGCAGAGGAGGCTGTGACCCAACTCTCAGACCGCTCGGTGTTTCTCTCCTGCTCGCTCCTCCTTTCTCTGGTATTTGATTGCAAAACGAATAGCTGCTCTAAAACAGCAAAGGCTTGGCTGTCCTGCAGTGCCTACCGTAAATCCTTGTGCGTTAGGGCCCTTAAATAATAGTTAGCAAGAGGCAACCAGAGCATGAGGGATGGGATGGGGTCTGGCAGCTGTATTACTTAAAATGATGGGCTGTGGGCCATGGTGCCGTGTAGTGCAATAATGCATTAAAAGCATCCTGCTGTGTGATGTCTGCGCTATGAATAGGTGCCAACGTGACCGTGACACTTAGACCTGGCACCATCCCCTTCTCTGTGTCCCACCACTAGGGAGAAGCTCGCTGCCAGAGCAAGCTCTGCAGTTGACTTCGCTCCCAAAGCCAGTGTCTTTGCTGTTCAGTTTAAAGAGTCATCTCTGCTAGTTCAAGCCTGTTAAAAACTCATTGGGTTGGGATGCTGCGTGCTGAGTACTAGGAGCTTCCTCACCAGCAAGGGACAGGCGTTGCTCTGCACACGCAGAATGCATTTGCCTGCGCCCCGACTCCCATGATGCATTGCGCTGCCAAAAGGACTCTCGAATCCCCTGCCCCGATGCTGGTAGTTGCAGGAGATGTCCTGTTGGTGTTAGTGAAATGGCACCGTGGGAGAGCCCAATGTAGAGCAGTTACAGCTCCCACCCGGAGAGTCTCTCTTGGTTTTTTATGATTCTCTGCAGAGAATCAAGTTATTGCTGTGCCGGGTCAGTTGGCCTGGTGTCCCCCCAGAGAGTGTGCCTGCACTTTCCCCCATCCCCGCAGCCTCCACCAGTTTAGCATGAACAAACCTTGGCAGCCATATGCAAAAGAGCCAAAGGACCCCAAACCTTTAGGCCTGTCAGAGACTCCACACTTCAAAACTCAACCGCGACACCTACTTGCTCCTAGCCAAGATGCTGGGTGCCCGTCTGCGTGTTTGCTGCACCAGCAAGCACGTTCTCTGCCCTCCTACACATACAAACGGGGGGGTCAGTGAGATGGATCAGAAGCTAGAAAGCTGTGGAGCAAGATGGGAATTCCCATGTGCAATCATTATCGCACCTCTGGCATGCAGACCTCCTTGCGTTGGTTAGAAATACCAACACCCTTGCAGTGGGAGGCTGCTGAGGATGTCAACTACTTATTTTGCCCCGGGTCAATGGTTTGACTTGTTAGAGGAAGGGGAAGAAGCCTTTCTGGTTGTGCCCTGCTCCTTCCCCGGATGCAGCCACGCATTCGGCTGTTTGTTTAGATGTGGCAGACCGCACTGTAGTGTGACGACACATTTGACCCACCCCGTCCATTAGTTGCCATTCAGATCCCCCTGAGAAATGCAGAGAGACCCAATCCTTCCACAGGGGATACGCAGACTATATTTTACTGTAGAGCCTTGGTGCCATTTTAACACTTTAGTTCTGATTTTCACAACGAGCTTTTAAAAACTGTAAATAAATTGGTGGTTAGGGAATTAAATGGGGAGGGGGTGGGGAGATGGGGTCTTACCCTGGAGGGGGAAGGAGCCAAATGGGGATTTTTATCAGAGACATTAAATCCTTTATCTTGAAGGATGCGGGGGGCCGGCGGCTGAGACTGCAGCATCCTACCCAGACCAACAGGGAAAGAGCCACAGCTGCCCCCATCTCCCCGTAATGCGCAGTCCCCTCTCCCAGGCGCAAGGACTGCTACAAACTCCACCCATCCATCTAAGACCTTTTCAGGGCACTTAGCCAAGGGGGTAGGTGTACCGCCACCCCGTGCCATCCATTGCAAATAAAGCACCTTCCTTTGCAGACCAAGCGGTCGCTTCCGAGTCGCTCTCCTTTCTTCACAACTGATTGTGATTTTTCATCCTTCTGCTGCTCTTGCTGGTCCTGGTGGAGGGGAATGGGGGCCTGCAAAGGAGAGGATTTAGGTCCTGGACCGAAGCCCATCTAAGTCAACGGGAGGCTTTCTATTGACCTCAGTGGGCTTTGGATCAAACCCTATAGGGATGTGTCTGTTGCCTGAACTTTCACTGGATTGTGTTTCTTCCTCGTTCATGCTGGAGTGGCGGAGGGGTGGGGGGCGAGGCATTGCCCAGCTAGTTATTGGGAGGCAGAAATGTGTGCCTTTGAGGAGGGGGGAGAGCTTCATGCTCTTCCCAGCAACCCCCTTTGGCATCTAGCCTTTCCTGGTTAATTCCAGGAAACACTGGAGCACCTTCAAAGAGCTGCACAGGGCGTGCCAAACCCTTCCCACCCAGCCTATGGCACTGGAGTGAGTGGGGAAGAATGACTTTGCATAGATCTTCTTCATAACAGTGCTTTTCTATACCAGGCCTTGGCATCTCTGCCCCTCCCCCAGAACCAGCTTGGGAACTGTCCAGTTAATTATGCTAATTTAACCTGCATCCTTCTTGGTGCCTGTTCTCTTTAGCAAAAGCAAGTGAATTGTGCTGACCTTTTCTTTGGCCCTTTCCCCTCTCTGCTAAACATTTGTCCTTTTTAATATCCTAAGAGACGGTGACCATAACATTGAGTCAATATCCGAACACAGAGCAGCATATGCTGTCTTGAGTACTTACAGATGGATGCTGCATAACATGAGCATTTCTCCACATAGTACAGCAAAGATCCGCCTGTAATTCTCCCTTGTAGCATTTTAAGAGTATAAACACCAGACCTGGAATATTGTATCTGCTCATTTCACTAGAGAGAATCATCATGGTGTCTGTAGGTTCATCTCCACTCCCTTTAGATTGAAGGATATCCTTTTATATTGCAAATGCATGGTTGCAGCATACATCATCCTTTTTTCCTTTTCTTATGAAAAACACTAACCCACCAAGATGGGGTCACTTAGTTTATTTTTGTATGTCTTGCAGTCGTATCAACAAGGCAGAGCATCTGGAGGTAGAAAGGCCCAGCCACTGGAGGAGTGATTTGCCTTGCAAATGTAACTGTATATAAGTAAAACCATGTTCCATATATATATATATTTTTTACTCCTTTGTATCATGAATGGATGTTGATGGCCATACGAAGTGTTTTTACAGACTGATGTGTTTTAAATAACAACACAACAAAAACAATTCCACCCCATTTGGATGAAAAAGACCTGTTGTGTTTTTTTTAAATGCTTTATCTATTTTAAAAAAAATGAAGATGCTAATATTTCTGGGAATCCATATAGCCCTCATAAGATGCATCAAACGACGAAAGACCTTGTCGATAAAGCAAAGGACTGCCTTTGAGGGGTACAAGACTTGCCTGGGCTAAACAAACGCTAAGCACAAAGTGGGTCTTCTGTGCCATGCTCTGATGTTCACTTCCCAGGGGATACTATGTGCTACTGCTGTACAATGAAGGAGGCATGGAAGCCAGGATTGTGTCCCATATAACGCACTGTGACTCTCCCGTGGTCGCTCGTGTTAATACCCAACATGTGAGGAAAATGGATGTTTATCGGGAAACATAACGAACTATCCAGCTGCCTGGGAGATGGGGAACTCTGTTCGTAGTCCTGCGGAAGCCAGGTTTGTACGATCTGGGGGAGAACTTGTACAACCTGTTACTCTTTGGACCAGGCAGCATCATGACTAGGAGCATCTGCCTGATGCTGAACAGAATTAGCAAAGACTTTCCAGAGGTGGTATAATGGGATTGAGGGGCTGCTGGTGATGTCTTGTGCCAAGTGCATCATCTTTCAAAAGCGTCATTTGCAAAGTAGAGAGGACTTGAGATGGAATAGCTGGAGTGACATCTAGTTCCCAATGAACCGCAACTCTCACCCTGTGAGTCTTGATATTTGTATTTACATACTGGACCCCTCCTGCTTTCTAAAACACATTCAGGTCATTGAAAAAAATGAGGTAAAAATGTTGATGATTGAATGGCAAACTGGCATATGCATGAAGCTTTCAGTAGGGCTGTCTTTGCTACAGGTAGCTTCACCCTGACCTGGGATTCATTGTCCTTCAACCTCCACCCATATAACTCCTCCAGAGGTGTCTGCCTCTCTATCTTAAGGCCAGTTCAATAGGTTGCATGTCTACCTACCATGCCCTGTAACTCTGCAAAAGCTCTGTCTACACCTGGTTCCATATTGCAGAAGCCCAGATGTACATCGAACTGAGCCAGGATTGGAGAGATTTGTGGGTCGGGGAAAGGAAAGTTGAACACTTGCTCTGTGGGGAGTGTCTTGGCCGTTGTCCCCTAATACTTAAATGCCATATGTATTATTGCCATTAACCAGTATTTCCAGCCATTCACCCTTTTCCTAATGGAAGTACTGAAAAAAGTAGTTCATTCGTCAGGTATTTGCTGCTTTCGTTTGTCAAGACAACTCTCTTGTGCCTGCTCACTGCTTACACTGGCAAACAAGTTTAGTCAGATGGTGGCTTACTGTAACCTGAGCAACCCATTGGTTTTCTGCTGTGGCTGTCACTGCCCTAATTGGCCTAAAATACACAGCGGAGAATCCGAATGCTCCTCCTTGAAAACGCTCTGGTTCAGAACCAGGCTGCTGTTCATGTCATACAATATACATGAGCTAAAAGGGGAGGAGTAGAATGGAAACAGCCTCTTGCTGCTATTCTGCGCTTATTATGGTAGCACCTATAGGCCCCAATTGAGATCAGGGTCCCGTTGTGGTAGGTGCTGCACCAGGTGTCAGATGACACAGTTCCTACCCCTAGAAGCTTGCTGCTTGGTCTTTCATTGTGAGTTCTCTTTAAGATTCCAAAGGATAGAACCCAAATATTCCTTCCTCCTTTTAAACAAATAAATAAATACATTCTAATGCATGCTGCATTAGTAACATTTCTGATCTAGATGCGTCCCAAACCAAAGATGACCATTGTGTTCTGGTTCTCCTCTCAGGGTGAGCAACAGGCTGTGTTGCTGGTCCGAGACTTTTTCAGGAGCAGAGAGAGGAGTTGACTCCAAACATTCTGTAGTGCTCATTCATCAGTTTTTAGAAACCTCTGCTTTCCAGGGCTGAGTAACTGCTTAGCTTTTCTTGCAGATTTCTGACCCGTTTTACGAGGTGTGAATGGATACGATTCAACTTAAAACTCTCCAATGTGGGGGGAGGGGGAGCAGGGACGGTCAGAAAAGAGACTGTAAACAGGACATTGGGATTAATATTCGTTGAGTGTTTCACCCAATTCTAAAAATCAAGCCGTGTTCTCCCTAGCGTTCTCAAATCTTACTCAATGTACAAATTGGATAGGGTTGACAGGCAAAAACTTGACGTTTGTCTAAACAAAACAGGCTTGAACTGCAAGAGACTGGGAACAGGTGAGTGCATCTTGGAAGTTGCTTTTCTCACCATAATCCTATTTTTTTTTAAGTGTTATCAAAACCTCCCTCAGAACAAGCTCTTTAACAAGTGCATGTTATTGGGCTGTGATATATGGGGAATGATGGACATGCTGTCTAACGTTTCATGCTGAATGTTTTTACTTGATGGCCAGTAAAAAAAATTACTTTAATAAAAAAAAAAATCCTCTGTCCCAACATGTTTTTCCATATTTTAATTGTGAATTGGAAACGGGCAAGTCTAGGGAATGGGACTGGATGATACCTAGAGGGCCCCAAAGTCCTGATTTTTGTTTTACAAATGTCCTATATACTGTATACAAAAATGTGACTTGGATGCTGTGTTCTTTGTAAAAACACTTTCTATGTATGAATGTATCCTGTGTTCTCAAACATTGTCTGGTTTAAATAAACATACAGAAAGGATTTGTGTCAAGTGATTTCCATAGTGTGTGTGTGTGTGTGTGTGTGTGTGTGTGTGTGACTGACTGTACTTAACAAACTTAGTGGAGGCCTGTCTTGCTCTTCTCCCAAATGTATGTTTCCTTCAGAAGTTTCTGAAGAAGCAGCAGCCTATCCCCCTTCACAAAATTATCCCACTTGCTTTCCATCTTCCCTGTAGAAGTAGTATACTGGAGAATTCTGAAGCCACACACACCCCACACACACACCTACCTACCTACCTACCTACCTA